CACCAGGAAGCACAATGATAAGAGATCAGTGGAAGAATTGAGATTGGCTGAGACCCCTCACCGAATTTAAGAGAGATTAAAACAAAAAAGACGACTTTTGTCGCTTCGCTGACCTAAAAGATCAAAAGACCGATGTTAAGAAAAATTTCAAAATACTTACATTCTCATCGTTGCAGTAAACGTCAAGTTTCTTCACCAAGTCATGAAAGTTTCCATCTACAAGCAAAAAAATTTCGCAGTAATGGCCTTTTTACGAAACACTGCAGCTATTAACATCGTTATTACTCTCCTCATTCCTGATATATCTGTTCCTAGTATAAATGTGTCACCGGTTTCGTTAATATTTTACAGTTTTCTTGCTATCCATACAATTATTACTTTACATGTATGAGAAAAAAGTTAAAAACAAGCGAAAATCGAAAATATGGAGTATTCTCATTAATGCTACCGCTACTGTTGTCGTGATAATATATTCGCTAAAATTAAAATTAACGCAAAAATAATATCAACTCCCTTTTTACTTTCGACTACGACGAGGAATTTGAAAGCATAAAGAAAATGCTGTGCTACGAACTCTTATAAACAAGGGATTTACGAGAATTTTGTGGAAATTGTTAAGGAAGCGAATATAAATTGCTCGTCAGACGTAATACGTATGTACACAAGGCGACTCCGTATCGCCCGAGCTTTTAACACTCGAGATAAAGGTAGCTCGGAAGCTGGATTAAAACAGATAGTCTGGAGTTTAATTACGTTTAAGATTTCATCGTTACCAATAAAGATCTCCTCGCTCACTACCCGTTAACATTGCGTATAATTGAGTGTAATACTCGAGGGAATAAACGACGAATCGGGAGGCCCCGAAAAATAGTCATTTGTGCGTAGCAAAGGTTAATACTGGAAGTGCTGATTAGCTGTGCGATGTTGGTAACCTCGGTACCATTATTGTTACTGATATCGGCATTATTATTATTATTATTGTTATTATTATTATTATTATTATTATTATTAACGTTAGCTTTATGCCAGTAAAAGCTGCGTTATGCCGATTATTATTACCTCAAATCAATTATGTTTGAGAAGCCAACAAAAGTTACCTGTATATACCGATATCATCCTATCCTCTGCATTGGTACGCAATTCCACACCCAGCTCTTCCAATAATTTCTGGAAGTCGCTGCGAGAAGGGATCTTCTGCAAGTTCAATCTGCACACAGTTGGATTTTGCGACTGAGAATAACAGCGATCAAGTGCACGTCGGAATTCCTTCTCTTCAATCATTCTGCCGATTTCGAACGAATCCATCGCTGCAGGCGCTAAAAGATCTTTTGCGAGGTATCAAGATCGGGGACAATTATGTTTTTAAGACAGTGAGCTGTGAATCTCCTGGAATTTACGCGACACGTTTAGCCCAATTAGCAACGCATATGTCAGGTGTTCATGCGTTCTTGCGCCAATCTTGAAGTAGTAGATCGTTATAATTATCAATGGTTACTAATTTACAGTTTAAAATATGCACTTATGCTGCTGGCTGCGTAATGGGCATCCCTTGCACGTGTGAAGGGGGAGGGGGAAAGCAAAAGGGAGCGCGGGGAAGGGCAGGGCAGCAGAGGGCATGGACTTGAAGAGTGGTGCTGCTCGATGGGGGAGCGTAAAATCATAACCTCCAGCATGCATGATTACTGCAGATATTAAATAAAGCAAAATGAATGATTTCTGGTGATGGGCCGTTCACTGAAAATGCAGACTGGGCAATGAACAAGATGTCGTGAGCAAAATTTGAGTTGCAAGGTTCCTGCCAAAATTTTAACGCAATTTATACGTGAGACATAGGCGTACTTGGGGAGTCAATCTGAGGCGCTGAATCGCAAACGCAGGGAGAACATCCTTCTAAAATTTTAGACACGCAGTTTGCCTGGCTCCTGAGTTATTTTCTCGTCAAAACTCGTACGTGGGACTCAGACGTGCTGTACCAAGGGTCGCAATTCGCCGAAGGACGCATCAACTAAGCTTATTTGGTTACTTATTTGATATATCCGGATAGACGTACACGCAGAAACATATGAATACATTATGGATCTTGTAACGTGATGCTGATTATTGCAGCGCTATAGCGCTGCACTACAACAACCCATAAACCCAGGCTGCAACACGCCAAGCTTGCCGGTATGACAACGCGTTTTTGCGCTCAACTTGCAGGCTGTTAACAGCAGAAATGGTTCCTGCGCTGCAGTTTAACACTTGGGTTCATACTGACTTTTTCCTGCATGCAAGGAGAAAGAGCCAAATCCCTGCAGCGTGTGCTGCATTGTGGGAGGCATGAGTCTCCAACGTTCATGATTATCAGTTTTTGCATGAAGTCCGGTCGTTCATCCAAAGGATGCAAATTCAAAGGAAGTTAGGAGAGCATTGCGAAGTCCGTAAAATACAATCCCTGGGAAGTCATAAAAAATATTAGAAAGCACTGGGGCAATGAAAGGTAGCGATGCTGTCAAGCAAAAAGTTATAATTTCGTCTCCGCCAACGAGGCAATCACATTCGTTCATTCGTTTCAACGGCAAATTACTATTGGTACATGCTAGCAAATCAAAACCACCGTCAGCTTGCTTTTAAGCAACCCTCGAAACTGAGAACCACTGACAACCTTGCCAGACAGTGACTAGTATTGGCACTTTGCTAACACTAGGGGGCTCCCGGACTGCCTGCGCTTCTCTTGGAAAGCGAAACGAAGCGGCTTTTGACTTCTGATTATCACAAAACATTAGGCATTACCAGCAATGAAAATATGAATAAGAACAGACGCACTGAAAGAAAAAAACACGGGAAGCTAGATAAACATTTATTTTTTGTTCAAAAAGTGTCGAAATAAATAGCAACCCGCATCAGATTAGCCGGTGCGATCATGCGTTTTGTGCAATTCTGCCCATCGAACGATTGCCTATCAATGATTTTCAATGCTTTGTACTTTAGTCTATGCAAAAATAGTT